TATTTATTTAATTTCCACAGGCTCTAAATCCCATCAGCTTACAACACTGTCACACACCAGAGTTTCTCGCTTAAACGCACTTGCATCATTCCCCTCACTTTCGGACTTTGCAGGTCTTCTGCGCCAGATGTTTTCCATTAAAAGGACTTGAAATTGCATAATCACTGCCCTTTTTCCTGGAGAGCAAATAAAAGGTAGAATATATCGATATAGTACTAATTTATATTAATATGTACACATTTTTCTTTCTTAGTAGCAAAATTAGCATTTGGTTAAAAAAGAGAAGAAGTTATTTGTAAATTATTGACTATTTTTATTATTATTATAAAATAAATCATAAAACACGGTTTACATCTTATGATTCCTGGACATTACTGTATCATGAGGTCATTAAAATGTTTTTGTATTCTATATTTACTGACAGTAAAATAAGCCACCTATAAAATATATAGACATAAAAAAACTAAAAAACACAGCCCGATATAATGTTAAACCACCAGAAATCTTAAAATTACAGGAATCTACATGTTTAATGTAAAGGAACATGAAAAACTGCAACTGGTAAATAACCCATAAAAACTATTTCTTTTTTTTTAATATTGTTGAAATACATTTTTTTACAGATATTTATTGTTTATTTAATGGATGGAAACGTTTCATACTGTTAACATTCTTAAATTAAATTACAGTAATGTTTGACTTTTTTCCTGTTTTTCTTGTTTTATTTGTATTCTCTCTATCTTGTTTTTACTTTGCTGTCTTTGCTGTTTCGTCCTGGTTAGGTTCGGCCTGGCTTTCACTGGTTAATTAGTGGTAATTTTGTATTGTTTTGGCTATTGCCTTTCAGTTGTCAGTAGTTCCCGGTTGTTTCCCTGTTGTTCTTTGCTCTTCCTGGGAATTATACTTTCCCCCTGAACCTGCCCGTAACTCTATCAAACAATACAATCATGACAGTTCATCCTGCCTGCCTCTGCCTGTCTGCCATTTGGCGTCCACTCCTGAGGGAGAAATGTGTCAATCCATACTCATTTTGAGTAACGACCACACTGTGGGTAATTTATGGTCCAAGTTTTATAATATGATACAATATATATGAACTATTATTTATCTGTTTACCAGAATTAAAATGACTTCTTTAATGAGCTGCGGGCCTATGACGTTATCGTTGTCGGACAGTATTCGCGCCTCATTTAAAACACATCATTAACAAACCTGCAGACCGAATATAAAGGCTGATATTTTACCCGGCACACGGGTTTGAGTTTGGGCTTCATGTACGAGTGTATTTACATTAGAGACAGATCTTATACACAAACCGGGGCAAAGTTACTACTCCATTACTACATTACTGCATAGGCGTTTTGTGTAACCAGGACATGCAGACGTCTTTGTTACTACATTTACTACTAGTACAAGTTTGAGCTTAATTCGTTATTTCTTCATCTCAGAGGGAGTATGTCATCTTCACATGTCAGGCCAATTAGATGAAAATAAATTTACCTATATAAAAAACATGTTTTTACTAATTAACTGCCGTCTCTGCATGGACTAAATGTAAATCTTGATTGGGAACACATTTTTGTTGTATTTGCTCAAAAGAGTAGAGAGAGAGAGAGAGAGACTCACGCCATGACGATGACGCTGAAGTCGAGCCAGTTCCAGGGGTCCCTCAGGAAGGTGAAGGGCCCCACACAGAAACCCCTCGCCAAGATCTTTATGAGAGACTCGAATGTATAGATACCTGTGAAGGTGTACCTGAGAGAGGGAGGGAGGAAGGAAGGAAGGAAGGAAGGAAGGAAGAAGGAAGAAAGGAAGAGGATGCATGACAAAAGAGGAGGGAAAGCATGATGGGAGAAGGGAAGAGAGGAAGACGAGAACGAGGAAAAGGAAGGGATGGAGAAGAAGATGTAAGGGATGTTGGAGAGGTGAAAAGGAGGAAGACAAGAAGAGATGTGGGAGCGATGAAGAGCAGCAGAGGAGAGATGAATAAAGAAAAGAAGAGGAAGAGGAAGAGAGGCAGGATGAATATTCATTAAACCAGCAGAGCCAAACATCCTTCACTTATTTATTTTGTCCCCAGAAACAAGTTCGACCCGACGGGGCGTCAACTCAACCGTACAGAGACAGACAGACAGGAGGGAGAGAGACGGTCACGCCGCCGCCGCCACAGCTGGAGGCCAACGGTGAAACATTAAAGGGTCAGTTCATCCATGTCACACAAAAACACACATATTTTACCAACAAACCCTTCTTATGTGGGAGATACATGCAGCTTTAAAGGCCCAGTGTGAAACTTTTAGGTGTTTTCTGTTAAATGAAGAATCACTTTTCATGATGAGTTCAAGTGTTTCAGTGTTCAGTTTCAAAGTTGTTTAATAAAACAGAAAGTAGTGGTAGTAAAGTAAAAATAGTTCACTACTCACGTATCTCTAGAAATATCTGAACTTCTTCACATTTTCAAAACAGGCTTGTTGCTTTAGTTTTAATGCATTTGAGGGGAATTATCGATTACTATTATTGTTTTTTATGATTGCACACTTTCCCAACATTAAGCAGACAGACGTAACGTGATGAAAATAACTTAAAATGATTAAATATAAAAAGAATAATAATATATTTGCTGCTCTCTCTGTAATACAATGTGTTTAATGTCATCATCCTCCAACACTGACAGACAGATCTTTATATACTGTAAGTGAGACAGCTCATTAAGCCACTGACAGACATCCAGTGCAGGTTGTAAACCAGGAGACTGGCATGGAAACAATGTCCAACACAGGATGAAGCTGTAAACATGGGCGGATCTACATGGGGGTCCAGATGGCGGCATGGAGGCTTTAAGAGGTGGCAGAAATATACGCTGGTTTATTCACAAACAATCACATATATTAATGTTATTATATGTGTTAATTTATTGTGTGTCTGTCTACATTTATTTATACATTGTTATATTCATAATATTCCACTATTTTTGTGAACCTAAGACTTTGATAAACCAGTTTCAAACACCAAAACAATTACTCCACGTGAGTAAATTAATTAAATGATGAAAAATCTGACTTCCATTATCCAGCTTTAGGGTCAAATTATCTCTTTACACAAAGCTTTAGGACTAATAGTGCCTCATTACACAGATAGCTGAGGTCTTTGTGCACATTTTGATATAAAATATGTGTTATTAAAGATATAAAGATATGTAAAAATCAAGAAATATATTCTTTAGTGTTAATACAGGCTGCAACATTAACTTCTTACACTTAACATAAAGTGTTTCCTGTTCAGGTAGTAAGACCAGTGCTGGTTACACTGGCATTACACCAAAAATAAACTTTGCATTTGACTTTGTTTACAGTTTCTTCTTCCTCCCGCCTGCCTCATAAAAGCTGCTTCCTCCCGACTGGATGCCATTACGCCATCAGAGCCAAAGACAGACAGACAGACAGACAGACAGACCAGGTGTACTTACTCCAGGTATTTGGCCCAGTACGCCGGCTCCGACATGGCCATGAAGCAACAGTTGGTCAGGATGGTGCACATGATGAACAAGCTGAATAACGTGAGCAGGTTAAGGAAAAAGAAGGTTTCATACCAACAATCAACTTAAGTTTCATTGCTTGCATTTGATGGTTTATCAAGAAAATCACATCAAAAGCAACAATTTAATGAAAAACATCATCTGTTGTCAGCTAAAATCAATATAATATAGTTAGTATCATGGATCACGTTAGCCAGGGAAGCTAACATTAGCAGACTAACATATCCACTCAGATAGTAATTTGCTAGTAACAGTGTTCGGCTAGTTACTCAAACAATTTTACTTATTACTTATTATTCTTTTCAAAAGTAATTAATATTTTATGGCTAGTTTCGTCCACGATTACAGAAATGAATCCAAGGTTGTGATTATATTTCACATTAGTAAAGGGGTGACAACAAAAGTAAGTATTTTTGGGGGTAGCTTTAATATTATTACTTAAATTTCTTAGTAATTAGTTACACTACTAGTTTGTCCCAATTAGCAAGCTAGCTAACAATAGCCAGCTAAAAGCACAATGTCACCATATATTTCAGAAGCTTTGCATTAACGTTAGCTTTGACTTTGTGTCTGTTGTTTGTAGACATTAGCGGACTCCATATAAACTAACATTAGCTAGTGTCGCGCACTGTTTACACATATAAATCGGTCCACTGGCAACAGAGAAAGTCGGGGAAGGTCTCATTTTGTTTGTTTGTTGTGCAGCAGGTGGAGGCGGAGTTTAGCACAGAAGACAATAAGTGACAGAAAGAAGAATTAAGACTCAATTTAATGAACGTCTGTGATTTACAGCTCTTACTCAGTGTGGATAAAAACTCCAAGTCAAATGTAAAACGTTAATGTCGTCAGTGTAACGCCGGCGATCGAGAATCTGAAGCTTTTATGTTCACTCATTGTGAGTTTCTATGGAGAGTGTCAGCTAAACGCCTGAAATGTAAATGTAAAAACATCTCACTGTGTGTGTGTGCACGCGCCAAAGTGATTTTACATGCTCTTTTTTAATTTTTTTTATTTAAATACCTTTCACTGATTTCCCATTAGAGGCTAAATAAAGACGAAGTGAACTGAAAAGGCAAGTTAGCGCGTGTGTTTCAGCGCTCCCCTCCGATGCCTGCCACATTCAATACAGCAAATTAATATGCCATTAACGGTGCCGACGGGAGGACGTGGGGGCCCACTCTTGTCTAATCAGCATACAATGGGGAGCAGTAACTTTCCAAAACTGTCAGAAGGCAGCAATACATGTTAAATATCACCTTCACCTGCCATGTTCGGCACGCTACACGCGACGAGGTGGGAGAGACTTGGTGAGACCTCGCTCAGCTGTCAATCACCGCTATAAATGAATCATAATTATTATAATTTGGCAGGAGGAACATACTCCCCATGTGAGAGCGGGCCCCAAACTCCAGCTGAAAGTTGTTTGAGCTGCAGGGTAATTGTTGATTGAGTGCCGGCTGTAATGATGTTGCCTGAGCATGGTGGCAGGCGGCGAGATAATACGGTTACCGATTGACAAACAGCGCAAATGTCCCCCCGCCGCCGCCGCCGCAGAGCCAGGAGCTAATTATCCCATAATGATAGCCCTGCTGTTTTGGACCTCCCAGGCCACCGTACCGGTAATGTCATTATACCTCCCACATCCACCACGGCGTCCATATTCCTCTCTCTCTCTCTCTCTCTCTCTCTCTCTCTCTCTCGCCATCTTTCTACATTTGTCTCGATCATTCTTCTACGTCTCTTCTTCCTCACCTCCATCACTTGCTTTTATTTTCTGTCAGGGTAGTAGCTGCTTTTATTTTGAAAGAATCAATAAATTGTTGAGTCAAAAATAGTTACAATAAAGAGGTGAAATCCTCAAATGTCTTATTTTGTCCAACCAACAGTTAAAAAACCTAAAAAAGTTGGATTTATTGGGAATAATTACCCTATTGTTATGTGTATTATTATAAAATTTTATTTCAAATAATATATTACATAAAAACCAAAATAGGATTAAAAATAATGCCTTAATAATAAAAAAAACCCTAATGTAAATCATAATTAAGAGATAAAAAGTAAAAATTATGTGATAAAAAGTTCTGATCACAGTAATAGTGAGTCAGTCAGAGTCATGTGGGACCTCTTGCTACACCCAAATACAGCACCAGTAAATAATACAACATTAACATAATGCTGATTCAGTGCTGACGCCACAATAACAATAACACAATATATAAAACTTCATTAACACGACGGTCCAGGCTGCTGATTCTGGATTACTGTTGGTTCACTTGTACTAACAGTTCTGGCTAAAAAACATCAGGAATACTCTGCAGGAAACTGTGGTGATATTAACACACAATTATAAGATAAAAAGTTCCAAATATGAGATGAAAAGTCCAATAATTAGATAAAAAGTATAAATTATGATTTAAAAACTTGAAATTATGAGATAAAAAGTCAGAATTATTAGATAAAAAGTCAGAATTATTAGATAAAAAGTCAGAATTCTAAGTGAAATCATGTATTTTGGATTGTAATGTGCTTAATAATAACAGAATCATACACATAGACTCTTTGTTTGGATATTGGGATTATACATCGGCAGCAACATAAAGTACAAACACTTCAAACACAACAAGACACAGCTGGCGGCTATGGTGCCGCTCTAAGGCGTCTGATGGATTAATGTGGTCCCTGAGCAAAGCCTCATGGGACACAGAGTCCAGTGTCTTCCAGAACAAAGGCCCTGTGGGAAATGTAGTCACTGTTTTCTGTGAAAAACTACAGGTGGTGTCGATACTGAGGAGAGAGGGAACACGTCTTCTTTTTCTAATAACCCAACAGGCTGTTAACAATCACTCCTCAGACTCGAGAACTGCGGAACGGTGTCACTTATTAGTTAGTTAGTAATAATAGTAATAATTATTATATATTATTATAATAATAATAATAATTAGCTTAACGCTAACCTGATGCTAATGTTATTTAACGCTAGTTTAACACTAAATCAACAACCATATTTTTATATTTCATTACTTAAGTCAAAATTATGAGATGAAGTATTTTGTAAACACTTTTAGCTCAAAGCTAACGTTGGTTCGATGTTAGTTTAACGTTCCAGTGCTCGCGATGGGTCACATAAAGCCGAGATTCTACAGTAATATTGGGATTTTAATCTATATTACTGTAAAATAATTACTGTATGCTAATGTGAAAGTACAATATTATACTTTACTGAGTGTGTGTGTGTCCACCTCACACCACCGCCTGTCACCGTGGCGCCGGTGTGTTTGGGCTTCAGTCCAGGACACACTTATAAAAGCACTTACACACAAACACACACATACTAAAACTCCACTTCAGCACCGCAACCTACAGCGACACACACCGTTTCGTCTCTCATTATAAACACACACACACACTCAAACAAACCTCGCACATCAGCAGCGCCACACCTCCGATGGCGACCTCTTCCCCCACTTATCCCCCTGACAACATCAGCGTGTCCGCCGGCTCGACATCTCTCAACGCCAGCAGCCGTTTACCCGAGGTAAAAATAGACGGGTGCAAGGTGAGGGGATGGGAGGGGAGGGGAGGGAGGGGTGTCGAGGGGAAGGCTGTTGAGTTTTGTGTGTGAAGTAATATCTGTCATGTTGGGTTGACGTCTGGAGCCCCGAGGCGGATGCCAGCGCGGGAACGGGCTGCGGGCCAAAATCCCACAGCTGGCGTTTTGAGATTCTCACGGACGCCGCTTCCACAACTGGAATTCAATTTAACGTCACTTTGTAAATAACTTTACGTATAAACAGGAAAGCTTTAGATTACGTTAGCTGCGGAGGTCAGTTCTCAACGTATCCTAGTGCTACCGATAACGTTAGCAAGGTAAAGTTAGCCACAGAGAGAGAAGGCACCGTTTTTAAATTCATTTTTTCAAATTTTCTAAGTTATGTTTGGAGTCTGTAGGTCATGTAAAGTGTTAAATATAAATAAATAAATGTATTTTGATTCATGACACTACTTTCCTTTTTATTGTTTTATTTTTTTTACAATCCCCCTTAATGAGTGTCAACCACATTAACGTTATTTAATGTGGGTTATTAGGTTCAGATATCAGGTTAATCTCTTCAGTGTTCAGTATATTTATTAAAAGGTTTGTGGTTTTTCATTAAAGCAAAAATTCTGAGTGCCATTAATCAGCATTGTTGAGTAGCACTAAAGGTAATCAGAGTTAATTTAATGGACTTATATGGGTCGTTTCACATTAATAAACCATTAATAACTCTGTGAAACTGCACAAAAAGCATTAAAAAGCCTTAATTAGAGTCTGTATGAATCAAAACCCTTGACTGTTTTAGGATTTGGCATTTTTGTGAATAATTAATCAGAGTAGAACTAATTTAAGTCGCAATGAGAGTACGTTAGCATAAAGGCTATCCCGATAAAACCAAATACAAAAATCAGAACATTTAAGAAGCTTGCTGCAATAATATTAGTTTAGATCTTTGACTTTGTGTGGCTGTCAGTAGATGTTAGTGGACTCCTTTTCTAAGCTAAACGTTAGCTAGTGTTGACACTGTAGCGAGCATAAACGCCACATTCACATAAATTAACATAAAGCCCATCACTCAACATTGTGTATGCTAACCTGTCAGCACAGAGCCCATCACTGAATATGCTGTAGTATCAATAAAACACTGCCAAGTGACGTCCAGTGTACACAAACCTTCAGTCTCTCTTACACATATACACACAGTACATGTATACACATGCTTTACCTTCAGCACTGAGAATATCTTACATTAAACATTACCGGATACTTCACTAGGGAGTGTAGCCAAAAATAATATCTTTTAAAAAGCAGGGCTGCAAATAAACGTTGTTTTAATTTTCTATTCTGAAGGTATCTGCTCAATAAAACGTAGAAAATAGTGTAACAACGGCAAAAACTGGAATATTTTGTGCCTGCAAACAAACTCAAAAATACTCAACCTGAATCAGTAGCAGTCTTTAACTGTACAATGAACACTGGATTTGGTGTCTCAGTGAACACATGAACTGCCACGTGCCAAACAACATGATGGGATTAACCGCCGAAGCCTCGTCTTCACAGACGCCTGCGGTCACGACCCACCCAGCCAGCGTCTATTTGTTTACATTATCAACCACGCTGCTGCCGGGGTGGCCTCCGCTGCTCGTACACAGCATCCTACAACACACTGAACCCCTCCAGGCTGCAGGGATGCTGCTGTACCTGACCTCTGACCTCCCTTGCAGCCAATACCCCACAGTCAGCAGCAGATCATCACATGGTCACAGAGTACATACAGTAGCAGTAAGGATATGAGTGGACCAGGATCTTGATGGCGATTCTGCGGATGGGGTGGAAAGGGCTGAAGATGTAGAGAGCTGACGTGGCACTGAATCGGAAGATGGCCTTCCCTTTGTTCAGGACTATGAAGGTCTACAAGAAAGACAGAGAGAGGAAATGTATTATTCAGACGAACTTGACGGCTGATTCATGTGTTGTGCTCTCAAGCGCTGCTGCCACTTTTTGGCCATCATTTGTGGGACATCATTTACACTGACAGAGAAAGCAAGGATGTTTTGGGGTTTTCAGTCTCAAAGCACTGGGGTTTAATTAATGAGGACACAGGCTTGCGGGGGGGGGGGAAATAACATCAACGTACCGCTTCTGTCCAACGTCCGCAAGTTTGAAGAAGCTCATTAAACCAAGCAGGAACTTGCTTTTGCCTTGAATCATCACACAGTGCAACATTAAATAAAAAAATCTGAAACACATGCGACTGTAACCTGTACGGTAAATACTGCTCACCATCGGCATCCTGCAGGCAGATCGCTTGGTCTTTAGTTCCGTCCCGTTCGTGGTCGGTCCTATCTCGGCAAGCCGCTTAGATTGCGATTGAAACATGAGGATTAAATAATAATGGAGGTTTAGAAAGTGAAATGGAGCAGATGCTTGTGGCTTTTACAGCTGATTACTGCACATAACAGGCCGCTGTCGAGCTGAAACTGGACTCAATTTCGTTGAACAGTTTCTTGTGTACGAGCTACAATTGCGGCTTTACGTACGGCGGGTTGCGTCAATCTAGAGGATGTCGTTCCGCGAGTTATTAGACGCAACATTGGCGACAAGAATGGATATTTGGTTCCCATCTTTCTGCGCACTGTGCCATCTGTTCCTTGGATTCCCCGGCATAAATCTTTTTAAACATTCATGCTAGCGACGACCTCAATAGAGACTAAAACCTGGGCAGCGAGGGACAGAGGATTTTTTAGGACTTTTGGACCTGCCTCTACATTTGATTCATGTGTCACAAAGCTGTCTGGACATTTCACTACCCCACAGAGTCACGCTTCGACGGATTGTTTATCGCCAGCGTCTACATCAAGTGAGTGAGTCAGTCCGCCATTATGTGGACGACCTGAGGGGCTTGGCTTGCCTCTGTAGGTTTGGGGCACTGGAGGATGAACTGATAAGGCACCAGCTGGATGAACAAATTAATAACCAGTCAGACTGAGAGAAACTACCAAGACCTCCTGACGACCTGACTTTGGCAAAGGCATTCCAGATCAAATCTACAGGTAGATGAGGATCTTAGCTTGTGTTATTCTTCGCCCTCCCAGAACAAGCTAAGACGGGCCTCCCCTTGCCCCAAGGTGCCCAGCCCTGAGGTTAACTTTCCCAAAAGCGAGGGCACACCAAAAACCCAGACTTGTGGTAATTGTGGCTCCTCGTGGGATAGCGCTTCCCAGTGCCAGGAGCAATCTTTTCGGTAAGCTCCTCCTCCAGGTTTCTCAAATGGTTTAAGGTGGACTTGAATAATATTTACCTGCCATTACTGCTGGATACATGGGCCTTGGTTGTCACTGCTGATTGTCTCCACTGTCTCACAGCTCCTTTCGCCCCAATTTTCACCACCAGCAACTCCTTAACCCAGAGTTGCGCCCACTCATCAAGCCCCTGCGCTACACCAAATTTTTTCACTACACTCGAATGCCATTTGTCTCACGCACAATCCCCCACCGCTTCCAGAAAATGATGTCCTCCCTATTTGCAGCAATCCCTGAAGTGGCCATCCATCTATCTAACACCAGCCCTGCATGATGAGTGCCTGACTAGAGTGCTTGATGTCCTTGCCAGCCACAACCTCACACTGACTGGGGAGTGGATTTTCCCGCCCACTATTGAGTTTGAGGGCTTCCCTCAAACAGCAGCCTCCCCAAGCCATCCTGTCCAGCCCAACAAGCCTCAAGCACTTCCTCTCCCAGTACTCCACAACCACGACCCTGCTGTGAGACCCTCCAAAAAACAATGCAACCTGGACATAAACTTCTGCCTGTTCGTCAGCTTAAGGAGCAGCTCACCTTGCCCACACCTGAGTTATGCTCTCCAAACATCAGCATGGCACTGAACACACCACCAACATTTGATCCCTCAAAACCGTTGAATAGAAGCAAGAAGCATAACCTTGTGTCCGGCACATCTACTTGTACCAGCAGCTCTTTTTATGTTGCTCTCCATGAGTTATCAGACATTACACAGTTTAAATCTTGTACATTGACAGTCCTTTATTTTCGTATACACCCAGTTTTACACAGTCTTCTGGACTCATTTCTTGTCAAAGGCGCTTAAAAATGAACTCTTTTACATACACAGTGTAATAAATGGGTTTACAGAACCACCACAGTAATGGCAACTTGTCAACTTCTGCCGACAACTTGGATTTGTTTATATGATGAACATTTGGGTACCATTTCCTACTAAGGCACCCTTTACAAAACATTTATAAACGCTAACTAATGGCTACTAATGGTTAATGAAATATTTATTATTGCTTTTAAGATCAGTTAGAGTTGCCAGGAAGTAAAACATCTTTTACCAGGTGTTCATGCTTTATAAGTTACAAATCTTGGTAAATCCATTAATGAATGAATCATTGTCACTTTTTGTCAACATTTATTTACAATAATCCATTGGAAATGTTAATAAATTGTTCATAAATGGATTTTAGAGTTATTTGTACATTAAAGCAATTGTTTACGACAATCCCGAAGTTGTTCTTATTAATGGTTTATAACAGATCTATAGCCATTAGTCACAGTTATTAAAAAGTGATACCTTCATCTCTAATTAAGTTTGTAAGAATGTTATATTTTCTGCATCCTTTTATGTATTTAATATTGTTTTGTGATTTTTTAGTTGCATATTCACGCATATATGCAAAGGCAGGAGGGACCAAACTGCTAATTTGTTGGTATTTGAGGCAAAAATTGGCACCAAGATATCAAAAACATCAAAAAGGTAATAGACTTCCAGTGTTATTTTTTGGAAGAGACATTCAATTGTTCTCATTCTGTGTGTCATCTTTTTATAAACTGTGGCAGCTATTGGTGTCTTAGATTTGGCCTCATTGTGTCTCTGACCTGGACACACAAAACCACAAGAACAGGGTTTATTTTGATTATGTAAATCTTCTTTGGAGCCACAAAACATATTTGAGTTTTATAATTCAAATTTCTCACTGCAGATCAAACATATTGGTAATCCAGCAGAGTTGGAGGTGAAAACAAACTTATCTTTCTATCAACACACTTTTTAGTTCTCTATTTTTCTTCTGAGACATTTCTTTTTTTGTATTTGAGGACTGCATCAGGGTCCTGCGGGACCCAAAACAGATCTTGTGGGAGTAGGTAGTTCTGACTTTGCTGCAAGTGGGAGGGGGCAATCAGAAAATAAACTGCAGGTTGCTGGATTTAGCTTGCGCCTAAATACTAATAAATAACAGTTATTTATTTCCATATAATTTTGGGAGCCACTGGAGAGGAGCTAAAGTTGCTCCGGAGTCGCAGGTTGCCGACCCCTGATGTAGAAAATACTTCCATTATTTGTGTTTTAGAAGCACAAATAGAAAAAAGCTAAAAAACCCTGAAAGTTTCCTTATATATGCACTAAGGGAGCATATACAGTATGTAATTTTACTCATTCTGGGGGTTTTAGACGACCAGTAAAATCCCCTGTCCTTCAGCTGCTGACTGAACATTGTGAACACAGTATTTGTGGTTTGTAGAAGCTGGCAGATGTAGTCATCTACCTAAATATAAAGAAAGATGCTGTTGCTAGAGACCATTGATTCCTCATGCAAAGCCATTTAGCTTGTGAGAAGACGCCTCTTAGTTGGGTCCGACCGAGGGTGGATAATGTACCCACCACAATCAAACTGCTCCAGAATTAGTTTGTGACCAGACCAAGACCACGTCGACCAAAAAGGGTTTCGAGTACGATCGCTGTGTTCAGACCTGCCCAAATGAATCGTACTAAGGCGGAGAACGAACCGCAGTCAGATTAAACAGAACTGAACACACGCCAGGTTTTGACAACACCCTGAAACAAGAAAGAGAGTGCAGGAGAAAGAAGACAAAACAGAGAGCGACAGACCACAGCAGGTGTAAACAAGGTCTGAACAATAGCAGACGGGACCGGGACAAACTGTGGAAGAGAAAGAGAGGAAGAGGAGACACACTTTCTTCCTTCCACACACACTCTGTCACCTCCCCTCCGGTCTTCAGTGAAGTAGGCTACCAATTTATCTTCCAGGGATTCTCCAACAGAAGAGACAGGGTATTTCCAGAAAACCTTCACCCACAAACACACACACTCTTTAGGTCACCTACCCTCTTGTCTTTGAAGTAGTACGGGTCGATGTCTTCCAGGGGAACGCCCACCAGATGAGACGGGATGTCGGCGAAGATGCGAGGCAGCTGTTTTCCTGCCTCCAGGTCGGGCCGGGGCCGGAGGAGCACCACGTCGCCCAGGTCCTGAAACACATCACATCTGCCTGCTGAAGCTGCCTTACATCTCTTCATTTTTAACTCAATATCTAATCCTGTAGTTCATTTTGTTTTAATAGTTGTGTTTTGTCAGGTGTGTGCCTGCGTACCTCCTGGTAGTGTTTGCTGCGTCGGGCCTGCTCCTGGGCGATGCGCTGCTCGATGGCCGCCAGGGAGTCCGGCGTGAAGCGCTGAAAGCTCTCTGGTCCCATTGGAAACACACAGCCAGCCATCTTCTCATCCTGATCCTGCTGCTGACTGGCCCAGTTTACCAGCTACAGACAGAGAGAGAAAGGCTCAATACATAACTAATAATCAACTAATACTGTTTTTTTTCTGGTTAGTTTAACTAAAGTTTTAAATTATAAGAAAACCGTAAGTTCTGCTCACTCTCAGCAAATTAAAAAACTGCATCAGAGACCTGCAAAGGACAGTGACCTTAGGAGGCATGGCCCCAACAGCGATAAGAGTGATTGACGGACTGACCACAGCAGTGCAGCAGGAATGAGCTGGTAGTCAGAGCTAACAAAGCTAACAGAACTAATGAGCTGCTGCTGTCAGACTCTCTGTCTCCGCACTGTAGTCCGCTGGAGCTTTTACAGTCACTAGAAGCACATTCACTTTGTGAAAGTTTCTGTGTGCTACCTGTTTAGCTAAGCAGCTAGCAGCTCAGAGAGGCTAACTCTCTCTGGCATGTGTGAGACTGTCAGTGTGGGATCAAGGTAAGGTTTGCAGTCCGTTGGTTTTTCTACATCTTTTCAAAACACAAGTCCGAACCAGAGGTAGAGGGTTAACAACAGCTAGCAAGAACCTCTATAAATGAGGCACCCACCCTCCTCTGATCAGAGGGCATTAAACACTCTTTTTATATATAAATGTCTGACCTAAAGTAGTCCCAAACTGTCGACTCTATGTCAGCAGTGGACTTTCAAGGTTCAGACTATTATAACACCAGCATTGATGTGTTTCATCTCATTACACTCATATAATTTAGATTGTTAAGTGTTAAGTGTTTAAGTGTGCAGTACTTCTTTGATATAACAAAAGCAGCTCCATAAATAAATGGCTTTCTCAGTTTGGTGTAAAATAACTGACCTTAAACCCATCCAACACCTTTTTGGGTTCACCCAACACCAGTGTTGGACCTCACCGGTGCTCTTGTGTCTGAGTGGGATCAGATCCCTGCTGCAGGCTCAACCTGACACATGTTCACTCATTGTACTTGGCTGTAATGTTTGGGTGTCCAGATACTTTTGGACATCAACACACTGTCGCTAATATTACACACACAGAAAGCCCAGTCGCTCATGATATGTTGCTATATCCACGTTATACAGTCAGATGATTATGGGATGTCCAGGTAATGAAGTGCAGGCCAACAATAGTGTCTCATTAACACTTGGGCGGTCGAGTATAGAGTTACAGTTAGACAGAGATTGACTATAGGATTACGCAGGGAAAGACGAGAGTTCGAAGAGAGCAACGCTGACAAAGTGTGAGGGTGTAACAGGTCTGTGTGTGTGTGTGAGTGTGTTCAGACCATCTGCCTTGGATCCTAATTGAATGATTAGACAGGCCTCGTTTTTCAACCCTTCATGCATTTATTCTTCACAGCTCCCAAATCTGATTTCTGAAGTGTGTGTGTGTGTGTCCACATCAAAGGAAAATCTAGCTCTGTTTTCCATTCTTATCAAAAGCTGTCATCCACTCAGTCTCACACACACACATACACACACACACACGTATGTCAAGTACAGTAGGTCCTGATGAGCTGTTCGGTCCTGGTTTCCATTTTGCTCAGACACTTGGTCACGTACACGCTTGTTAGTACCTCTACGCCTGTCAGGACCCCCTCTGACATAATGCGTTCCCACAGTCGGGAGATAGATCTGAAGGGGGTTGAGAAATGATCCACAAAAAAAGCTCCACAGAACTTGTTTTGAGGGTATGGTAGCATCTAGGCTGTTTCAGTAAATAGCCCAAAGGCTTTGTTGCTAATGCAATGGAAAATGTGCATTACAGAACTGATCTGAAGTAACTCAGGACATCCGTTTTCCATGTTTTACAAGCTCTTTGTGTTACAAAGTGATTCGTCATGTCTCCAGTTTCTTTCACTAAGGAGGAAATGGGGGGAGAGCATCGTTTTCAGGTGAGGCGTGTCCTCAGAACCATTCAATTTGTGGCTTCGATACAGCCGCTGATAGAGATATCTGATCGTCTGGTATCAAAAGACTTGGTTTTACCAGGAAAAGAATGAAATAATGGGGAAGAAATCAAGCCTATGATGTTGCTCCAGCACCTTAACTCCAACCATCAGAGCCCCATGATCTTAACCCTAACTCAAACCCCTAAAACTAAGTCTTCACCACCTTTGGAAAATCTCCTGACACTCAAGGTCTGAACCTTAAATTGGTCCTCACAAAAGATCACGTATTTATCACATTCAGTGTCTAATCTTAGCTCAAACACTCCTGAATGAAAACTGTCAAACACACTCGTTTTATGAATGATTCATGGCGCTAAATTAAAGGTCTAAAAAAACCCTGAGCAGCGTTTGATTGGTCACACCGTTGTCTGTTTTTAACAGACACGAGAAAACAGATAAAAGAAAAACAAATCTAAAATAAAGGTTAAACTAAATTAACTTTTCTACCTTCTTTCCGTTCCTACGTTGTCTTTGCTTCTCTAACTATTATTTTCCTTGTCTACCTCCTCCTGTCCCTTTTTTATAACCCATAACCCTAATCCTTCCTATCCACACTGATGAATAATCCATAGCCGACATTACTTAAATACAGAGCTTGAAGCGGGCTCAGTTTTAAAGCGAGCGTTAAGATTCTGGTTTCATATGAAACTAAAAGGCCTAGGGCATCCATTGGTACCAACTCTATCATGCTAGTTTGTTGAGAATGGGGCTACATTTTGGCGATGACCTCAAGATATCTGAATGAAAATTGATTGTGTCCATGTTTCTGTATACTGGGTTCCATAAATTGGGTATGACTGGAAAGTTGAGACTCTTGTGGGTTCAAAAAACGTGTATGGCCATATAGCACACGTGTATATTCATGTGTGCCATTTCTAGCTATGTTGACGCCATTTCTCACCATACAGTGTTACATCATGATCAGGTGGAGCTGAATGCATTCATTCTGGCAGCACTGCCCTACAGCGGGACGCTCAGAGTGATGATGACTTTGTTATTGTACCAAAAACACTTTGTAAATGTTCATATTGCTGAATTTACTGAACCACTCACATAGCACAGGTTTTTCCCTTTCCTTCACCTTTTGCTCTTTTAAGACGATTGACTATTGTTTTCTGTGACTTTGATTGCTCTTAATGACACTGGAGAGTCAGTTTGATGTGTTTAATACAAACATACTGTTGTCTTGAGTTCACTCCTCTTCCTTCAGCTTTAGGCTGAACGTTGACTACAAACATCAAATTACCGAACAGACACTTTCATATCTCTTCGCCTTCAGTCTTTCTACGGACGTCACTGTTTTTAATGATGTTTCTTTGTGTTTTCTTACTCATTGTGTCTTTGTGTTGTTGTTTACTACTTACAACTCTGTGTTATGGCCTCAAACTGCAACGAGACCTTTGGGTTTTAATAAAGGCTGAACTCAACTGACCTATTTTGTGTTGCATTTATGAACATGTGGATTACACAACCTGGTCTTCACTCCCAAGTTCTCAAATACCACTAAACAAAAAGACCTGTATCCGTAAAGATCCAGTGGTATACAAATGTATGGATCTGCATCCAGATCTGTGCGCTGTATCGTATCCAGTCTGCTTACTGTCTGAACTCCACTCCCTCTAGCGTCGGTGTCGGGATTTGCCCACCGTCAAAGTCAGTTAACATCGTATAAAGAGCGAGAAAAGTCATATGACACCAAAAGTAAACTTTAATTTATTTTAAGATACATACAGCAGGTATATAACGTAACTTCTGTTCCTAATCTTAAACAGTTTTTGGGTCTAAATTTAACGAAACTGCAACGATTTCACAACGTTAACTAAGCTTTATTTTGAAAGTTGCATATTTATTGCTGCTAATTTAACTGCGGAGCCCTGCACGTCCAGAAATAACGTTGGGATTTCAACACACTTAGGAGGATCTATTGTCAGAAATTGAATTTAATATTTATAGGTATGTTTTCATTACTGTATAATCACTTGAGTTTAGGAATACCGCCATGTTGAACCACTATGTTTCCAAGCTAGTCTTCCTACACACTGGTCCTTTAATATCACTATAAAGTAAACTAGATTATTTTAAAAGCAATTTATTAATGGTTGAACCACACCTGTGCTCACTGGAAACATCAAATACAACAAAAGAAACCCAGAGATGGCGGTTTTGTCATTAAGTTCACGGTTTAGCAAAGATTATTAATATACAAATTGTTTACAAAGTGATCAGCTTTTAACACCCAGTTGTTTAGCTTTTTTATTGGAGGATAATGACCACGGAGGAAGTAGGTTCCCCCCTAATACACCATCAGCTGCCTTGCTCAAGGGCAAACTTAACCTTTAATTCACTCACAGCACAGAATGAAACAGTGAGGAACAATAACAGACTGACTTTAACTACAGACACCAAGAGTGAAGAGAAGATGTTATGAAACAGAGAGCGACTGGATATATTTCTGGGTCAAAACACAAAACGTAGACGACACACCAACCAAACAAGCATCGCCCTCAGGAAGGACACACACACACACACACACACACATGCAAATACACACACATGCATGCAAATACACAAGAAAACAGTCGCAGACAGAGTGAAGTACACACTGCAGCTCTTACAGTAACGTGTGTGTATGTGTGTGTAAACCTGCAGCCATATAACACCTCACACCAAATCTCTACATATTTCATTTTTCGTAGTCAGGTTCAGGCTTCCACCATCAACTGTCCCCTAATATAAACATGGATGTGTCACGTATTATACATGCACCTTTATTAGCAAACATAAAACATGTGCTGCACACACACACACACACACACATACACATTACACAGCGTCTGATGCATAAACACGTCAACTGAATTCACTACTGACTGACCTGTCATTTTCATTTAAGTCTTATTTCATCTCTAGAAAGTTATACAGACGTTAGATTTACGTCCCTGAACGCAACCTGTACGGCTGAATATCAACACACACTGTAAAAAATAAATTGGGTTTTTCCAAATTACAAAACAATCCTGTGAATTTACATGTCTAATGTGACATAATGTGGAAAAT